GTTAATTAAGTCATAATTATGGGTGATTTTAATTTCAAGCATATAGATTGGAAAATGCTAGAGTCAAACCATGAGGGAGAAAGGTTTTTGGAAACTGTTCAGGATGGCTTTCTTCATCAATTAGTCAAGGAACCTATTAGAAACAATGCTATTTTAGATTTATTGTTAACTTCAAATACGGAAATGATCGACAGCGTAGAAACTGGGGAACATCTGGGTGCAAGTGATCACTGCTCTATTAGGTTCGATGTTTTGCTGCATATGGAGATAAGGACTAATGATATTTTGGTTACAAATTTCAAAAAAGCAAATTTTGAAGGGATGCGACAAGAATTGTCTGTTGTGAATTAGGCAGCTGAGATACTTGGGGACACTGATCAGATGTGGAAAAGTTTTAAAGATAAACTCTTAAATATTCAAGATAAATATATTCCTTATAGAAAGAAAAGAATAGTTGAAAATAAACAACCAGGTTGTTCCACAAATAGTTTAAAAGATAAAATTAAAGAAAAGCATAATAAATTTAAATTGACTGGTATGACAGGAGATTATAAAAGATCAAGAAAGTTGGTAAAAAAGGAAAATGGGACATGTATGAGAAAAGGTTGGCTGAAAATGTAAAAATTAACAGTAAATATTTCGCTAAATACATTAAGGTTAAACAAAATGTTAGGATGGGGGTAGGACCTTTGAGGGATGATAAAGGAAGACTAATATCTGATGATTATCAGATGACTGGGTTATTAAATATTGCTTTTTCTTCGGTTTTTACTAATGAAGATTTGAGCAGTGTTCCACATCTTGAACAGTTGATAAATGGAAACGAGATCGATCTATTCTTAGACTCCGAATTTTAAAACTGAGAACAAATTCATGAACTGGACGTAGATTGATCCCATCATTTAAAACACTAGGTGTTTACTGTGATCAGCAACTGTTTTGAATGACGTCTAACTAAAGGTATTTTATCTTACATTGAATAGAAGTACATTTTTCGTATTTCTAGCGTTTCGAATTGCATGTGAAGTCGTTTCACTTGCAAGGAATGTCAGTATACCATGAATTTGTTTACTATTTTTCAATTATGAAAACAGATATTTATATTAGTAATAGTTTAAAATGCTTTAGATTCTATAAGAAAACTTGCAAGCATATATTGACTCTAGGAAAGTTTGTTTGTTGTGAAGCTCAAAGCTATCTGTGCTATGCCCACCACGAGTATCGAAACTCGGTTTTTAGCGTTATAAGCCCTTAGACTTATCGCTGAGCTACTAGGAGGCTACTGAAAATCTAAAAATGAAATACAAATATATTATCTAAGAGACCATCCTTCCGTTTAAGTTTTTTTTATTGTTGTTGGATCTCTGAAGAACATAAGGATTGAGACATGTCATACTAACGTAAGTACTTAGAACATAAAGGATTGAGTCACATGATACCAACATAATTATTTATAAACATAAATGATTCAGTCACATTATACCAACATAAGTATTTATAAACATCAATTATTAAGTCACATGATACCAGCATAAGTACTTACAAACATGAAGATTAAGTCATATTATACTAAGTTAAGTACTTACAAACATAAAGAATTGAGTCGCATGATACCGACAGAAGTGTTTACAAACATAATGATTGAGTCATATTATATTACCATAAGTACTTACAAACATAAAAGATTGAGTCATTTAATACCAACGTAAGTACTTACAAACATAAAAGATTGAGTCATATGATACCAACGTAAGTACTTACAAACATAATGATTGAGTCATATTATATTAACGTAAGTACTTACAAACATTAAAATTAGTCACTAGCTATCAACGTAAGTACTTACAAACATAATGATTGAGTCATATTATATTACCATAAGTACTTACAAACATTAAAATTAGTCATATGATACCAACGTAAGTACTTACAAATATAGTGATTGAGTCATATTATATTAACTTAATTACTTACAAACATAATGCAATATTTTTGAAAACTAATACCCACAGAATCATTGATGTATATTTCTCCCACAAAAGATTACAGTTCGACGATAAAAACCCATTGTGTCAAGATTCGTTATATGAATATCCTTCTACCCAGTAAAGTATTATATAATTGATACTTGAAACCGTCGGTACTTGGTGAACCTCCATTATTACAGAATTGAGGAAAAACGAAGACAGTTGTAAGTTTCACGAAGGCGAAGTACCCGATGACGCCTTTACTGGAGATTTTGTGAAACGTACAATTATCTTTGTTTTTTTTACTCAATCCAGTAAAATATTAATATTGTACACCAAACTGGGTCTCCTCAGTCATGTGGTTCTGAAATTAATAAAAGTTCCTACTGGAGACTTTCGGTTTCTCTTTAGTACTCCCTCTTCCCCCTGTGATCAAGTAAAAAGATCAGGAAATAGAATCGAGGCTTAGTACTCCCCCCTTTCCCCCTGTGATCAAGTAAAAAGATCAGGGAATGGAATCGAGACTTAGTACTTCCCCCCTCCCCTTCCCTCTGTGATCAAGTAAAAAGATCAGGGAATGGAATCGAGGCTTAGTATTCCCCCTTCCCACTGTGATCAAGTAAAAAGATAAGGGAATAGAATTGAGGCTTAGTACTCCCTCTTCCCCCTGTGATCAAGTAAAAAGATCAGGGAATGGAATCGAGGCTTAGTACTCCCCCCTTCCCCTGTGATCAAGTAAAAAGATCAGGGAATGGAATCGAGGCTAGCAGTTTAATTACTCTTTCTTTTTTCTAACGAAATGAAATGGTAGGAGGAGAATCCAGAATCAGTGAGGTGTTATTTTTGTGGTATATAGACCCCAGTTTTGCTCTGTTCATAAACGTATTCATGCATCTTACTTTCTTTAGTATATTAATAGTAAACAATAGAACAAGATAAACAAGAATATCTTAACACATCGGCACTCAAAGTCAATGACAAGTTTGAATCTGAGGTTTCTATTTGGGTTTTTCCTAGCTACATTTTAAAATAACGTAGATCTAGTCGCATCGTGATTTTATAACCACGAATAAATATTTCTTTCTTAGGATAGAGATTGATCAAAAATACGTTCTTAGAAAAACCTATTTTCCCATAGGCGTAAATAACTATGAAATTTCAGTTGGGGAGGAGAGGGGACTAAGTCCTAAAATGTACCGGAGACCATGTATGCTTTAGATAAACACGTTTTATTTAATACCTTATGTACTGGTTATTTGAATTTAAATGTTGTAACAAGCCCCATATCTAGCTACGTCCGTTTTTACTTATGATTAAGGAAGAAAACTGTGTCTTACTATTTTGATGAATACAATATCTTTAAGCTAGAACTGGCACTAACTTCAGTGCAGCTTATTACAGGAAAATAAGCACTCTAAGTGCAGAATCAGATAATAAATCTTTAAGGTTACCAATATGTACAGTAAGAAACATTTATAAACCTGAATGGATATTTTTTTCACTTTATATTTAAGTGCAAGTAATAGTCATCAACGTGTTAGGCATTTGGCTATTTTGGGTTACCAATAAATCATTTCTAATATATTTTAACGAACAATCAAATACGTTGGCGTAGGACACTCACTTAAGTATTGATAATCATAGATTCCGAAAACAGATACTGGTAATCAACAGTATTAGTCCACAACTAAAGCAGACCCCTATTCAGTTGAATTATCCACATGTAAGGAAATTTATACTGAGTCGTCGGACAATGAAATGTAGGAGAACAATAGAATAATTAAATTAAAAGGACACTATTATTTTTGAAATGTAAGAGAACAATGGAATAATTAAGTTAAAAGGACACTATTATTTTTGAAATGTAAGAGAACAATAGAATAATTAAATTAAAAGGACACTATTATTTTTGAAATGCAGGAGAACAATAGAATAATTACGTTAAAAGGACACTATTATTTTTGAGATGCAAGAGAACAATAGAATAATTAAGTTAAAAGGACACTATTATTTTACCACTGTAAAATGATTATAGTTTGATTTATGTAATTTTTCTTCGAAATTTTGTAGCTTTCAATACCAAAGCCACAACACTGACTAGATAAAAATCTTGAGAAAGTTTTACTTAAACATAACAGTCAGTGACGTGCACAGGAGGGTGACTGGGTGGGTTCAAGCCGCATCTCCTCTTATGTTCCGAAAGTGCCCTTTTTACCAGTCATAACAAATTGCCCAAAATTTGCCCTAAAAGACACGCCTGATTCCACATCTTGCTTGCTGCAAGCTAGGAAAAAAATATTTAATCTTTAAAATGCACACAGGAACTTGTTTAGTTTCTAAAAGTATTTATAAGACCGATTGAACAGGAATAAAAGAGGATCTGTTTGCTTCTCATGGCTTTCCACTCTACGTGTACCTTAGGCAACCCACAGTTTCCCCTAACACCTCCCACACTCGTCAAAAAAAAAGTCTTGCCTTATGATGTTGCTTACAAAATGCCCTTTTCTGTCAATGACCCCCTGCCCTTTTAACATCCTCTGCACGTTACTGATGGCAGTTACATCAATATTTTTGTTCTATTTAAATTTTTCTGTTGTTTAGCTTATGTGCTACAAAAGAAAAATTCGGTATATGTTTTGACCAATACTCTTAGTTTACGAACAAAAAACAGTAAAACAACATTAATTTCACAATTACGAGAAAGTTCCTGATACGGAATGTCAGCTTCGTAGGTTTTGAATTTCGACTAATTTTTTGCATATATATATATATTTAATTTATTCCTAAAAATACTTTTAATAAAAATATTTACATATTTTATCGATATATACCATTTCCCACAAAAAAAAAGACAAATATCGTTTTTGTAAAGCGTAATAATTTCAACATTAAAATATTTTGAGGTCAAGATTAAAGTATAAGTCTTCAAAATAATACCACATTCCACATAATTCTCCGGTAACTGTATAGAATGAAAGTCAAAAATTCCTTGATTCCTTCATTGTCAGGATTGAATAAAAGCGCCTAAGGGTTTTGTAATAATGTACTTTAGCTATTTATTCCTTGAGTAAGAATGATTAATTGTTTTATTTCACCATACCGCTTGCAGTTCGAAGTCTAGATTTTTGTCCATTAGACGATTCAGCTTCTTTTAGCCTTTTCTTTCTTCTTTTCTGATAGCTTCTGCGCATCCTCAAAAGAATATTGACGTAGTCTGGCCAATTGTTAGGCAGGAGAACTAACAAGAAGCCAGTAACAATTAGTAATATTCCCGCCAACTTCATTCCTTTAAAGACGACGCCATATATATAGATGTCGATAACTGAAAATAAAAAGTAATAATAAAATGCAAATCACAAATGTAATAGACAGACGGAAGAAACTGAAGAAAGGTTAAAGGTTTCTTAGTGATTTCGATTTTTAATTTATTTTCCAAAGTGCAGTCGAAGAGGAAATTTAGTTGGCTAAAATATGAACTTTAAAGTTCCAGAAAAATAAAAACAAGCGTCATAAACATACATATATATATAACATATAACAGAATTAAAGATTAGTGTATTAAAAAAATAGGTCCGAAAAAGTAAAAGGGAGTAATAAAAACGTATTCATTTACCGCAGTATTTTAGATACATTGATATTGTTTTTCTGCGATAACCTTATAGGTGGCAATTTATTGAAATTTATGTATTGCTGGAATTTATACCTCTCTCCATAGTTTTCTTTGAACTATAAAATGAAAACAGTTACTCTTGAAATCTAGATGGCAACTATTTCGTAATTTACTGTTTAGATAAATAAATAAACCACTGTACAATAAAAAGGGGTTTCAACAAGTTTTAGACAAATACTAAATTTTATCTTATTCTGACGCCTATTTATGACCTAATCTTCAAAGCCTAATGATGGTTTTTAGGTTTAATATTACAATCTTCTAGTATTTCTCAGAGAAATAATTTATTTAATGTTATTTCAACTATAATACAGGTCTAATAAGTTGCATGTATATAGGAACTAGATTAACTATTAAAGAAATATATAAGTACTAGCGTATAACCTGTCACAAATGACGCTGCAAGTATTACCAACCCACCCCATAGTATACCCTAACCTCACATTTCATATTGTTAGGTCTCCGTTTGTTAATTGATTTTCCGTAAATTCGTTCCGACGAAACTTTAGCGACACAAGTCCTTACTTAATAAAACTGGTTTATTCTTTCCGAATATAACTTTACGATACACTTAATTTCAACAATCGCGCTAAAACAAACGCTATAACAACAAACGTGCTCAACTTCAATAATACCTTCTCACTGCAGATCAATTACTCACTACCTACACACACATTATTGTTCCGTCACGTTGTCACCCTCTTATATATACCAGACTACCCTATATCTAGTAATCTCCCGACAATTCCCGAAGGTTCGAGAGAACGAGTCACGTGACCTCGCTGACGCAACAATACATTGTAAAATTAAATGTTTAGTTTTAGATCAAAACCATGACAAATAATTTGATAAATTGTGTCCATGGAAAATTGTGTTATTGTTGGCCGTTGTTTTGATTAATACTCAGTAACATTGGATGGGGCTCGGCATGTCCTGGTGGATAAGGCGCTCGACTTGCAATCTGAGGGTCGCGGGTTCGAATCCCAATCCCACCAAACATGCTCGTCCTTTCCAAGAGGGAAGGCTGTCAAGTGGGTTGCATCCTTGACGTAAGAAACAGCTTTAGAAACGATGGCAGAGCAAGATCTGCCATCGGCTCGACGATCCGCAAGGACTATGGGGAAAAAAAAAAACAAAAACATTGGATGGCTTTATTTTAATATTAAACATGGTGTTTAGGAAATTATTGTATGAATTTGTCTAGCAAGATTTGAGAGTACTAAATTTGTTTCAAGATACAGCATAAGAAGGAGCTTTTAGTGTGGAGAGTGCGATAGTTCGAGAATGTTCGGTAGGCTTTAGTGAGAAGAAGGGAAATAAGATTTTTATAGTGGAAAAGAACAAATCTGACAAAATTTGTCTTGCAATAAACACATGCAGAGAAACCATTAAGGTTTCTTGTTACACGGATGTATAGGAATGGGGGAGTTATATTATTTTCTAATTCACAGTTGTATTGTTCAATATTGACATTTTCACCAAAAAGCCAAGGCTATAGCTCATATTTTTTCACAAATTTTTAAAAAAATTGTTTTTCTTCATATTTCAATACAAAGATGCCCTTGATGTGAGACTTTCAAAATTGATATCCTTTCATCAAAATTTCCAATGGTTACTTCATAATATGTTATCAAAATTTCGGCTATCTTCGATTTTACTGGGGTTTTTTTTCAGTTATATTGTAAACAAAGAAGAGCTTTAAAAATACGATTATTCAAACAAAATCCCACCATCTAAAAGCCCATGATTTCTTCTTATAAAAAAAAAGACCATCTTTTGGATTGTTGTTATTCTGGGTTAGTAAAAGTCTAATTTTATTTTTTAGCTTATCACAGGATATAATATTTGTCGTTAATGCTATAATGGCTCAATTTTAAATTTGGCAACGAAATAATCACTATCCAATATCTTTCTATTGATTTTGCGTCAATATATATATATGCTTGCGAATATATATATTCTGTTTCTGAATATATTTCTAATTAGATCAATTCAATTGCATTTTCACTGTAGCATAAGTTTTAAGCCACTTTGCATACTTACTCCAATAACATTATATATTATTACTTATGCAATTAATCTAGTCTAGTTGTTTGTTTATGTATTGAATTTCGCGCAAAGATACCCGAAGATTATCTACTAGCAGTCCCTAATTGTGAAGTGATAGACTAGAGGGAAGACAGCTGGTCAACATTACCCCCTGCCAACTCTAAGGCTACTCTTTTACTGACGACTAGTCTAGCAGTCCCTAATTGTGAAGTGATAGACTAGAGGGAAGACAGCTGGTCAACATTACCCCCTGCCAACTCTAAGGCTACTCTTTTACTGACGACTAGTCTAGCAGTCCCTAATTGTGAAGTGATAGACTAGAGGGAAGACAGCTAGTCAACATTACCCACTGCCAACTCTAAGGCTACTCTTTTACTAACGACTAGTCTAGCAGTCCCTAATTGTGAAGTGATAGACT